GAAGCTATCATAAGCTAACAGATGTTTGTTTGTATTGCCTTAAGACTATCATAGTTAATGTTAGCTAATCACACTTCATTTCAAGACACCGGAATTGTTATTAATGTTAAACAAATAAAACTTTAAAAGCACTTCACACTACTCACACTCTCTGCGTTGTCGTTCATATTCATGTCTCCTGCTCACTAGGTGGCGATGTTGCAAAATAACTAGGGTCCTGAGAGTGCATGCGGTCCTGAGAGTGCATGCGGTCCTGAGAGTGCACCCTCCTCCGAGGCTGCAGCTTCATACTACTCGTCTACGGGGCTGATCTCTGTGAGCTGCAGCTGACCACGCCCCCCTGCAGGAGAGGGAAGCCGTGCTCTGATCAAGTCAAGAGGGGGAGAAAAAAAGATCTCCGTCCTCCGTGTTTTATTTATATATACAGTCTATGGTTTTATTATATTATTATAGGCCTATAGAGTCGTTATTCATTTGTTTTAAAGCTCAATAAATAACAAAGACCTTTGACCGGCACTTTTCTAATTTTGTCTGGAAGATTTCAACTTTAACGGACATCTTGACCGGCGAAACTGAAACTCTGCCGCACGGTCCCCTCGTTCCTTGGAAGAGGCGGAGAGGTGGGTGTTTGTCATCTGCTGGTGGACTAACCGGAGAGAATTACAGTGCTTGCCTCGACGGGGAGGGATTGCATTGAATTAAAGCAGCGGGAGCAAACGCTTGCCTCGGGGAGGGAGAAAAAAAGCCACAGCGGAGAATAAACAGAAGGGTAACCATGGTAACTATGGGCGGGAAGTCTTCTTCGCTGCTTTTGTGGCAGACTACAGCGCCACTTACAGGCCTGGCATATGTACTACAGCGTCTCCAGCGATTTCGAGCGGCAATGGCCGGCCGTGGCCCAACCCCACATTCCCCTGATAGGTGGAGAGTTGGCCCAATAGCCGTAGCGCCACTTCTGTGATGACATAGAAGTGTTCAAATCTGGATCAGTCTGCATCAGATCCGTTGCAGCCCCTTTTTTAGAGATTTGGGTATGGAGGAAAATAGAGAGGGTTGTGTTTTCTGACACTTGGTGAGTTCCCTGGAACACCGGGGACACATATTCATGTATAAAAGACGTACAAAAGTGCATTTTGCATGATAGGTCCCCTTTAATACAAAGAGGGGTTTTGTGCTTCATTGTAAACTTTTCTTACAAATGTGTGTTAATCTACTTGAAACTGTAGAGACAGTTTGTTTCTACTCAACTATACAGACCATTGTTGAGGAGATGCAAAACATACTGTACATGAGTTGGGTCCGACATACTTTAAGTAATGTTACTTTGCTGCTAAAAAATGAAACATCATTATCAGATGAGGACATCACCAAAGTGTGTGAGTCTGTCAGGGGATTTGATCTGTTCTCTGCATGTCATACACACTGCTCTGGTTTTATTTATCTGTAAAATGTAAGTCTCTCGCTCTTGTCATCGTTCAGGCTTTGCATTTGAACTCCTATGACTGGTTGTAGACTTGAAGGGAACGACTTCCTGGCCTTCCTGACATCCAGGAAAAAGGTGAGATTCTAATCCATTTGAATGCCAAAAGCAGGTTATTGTTTTTAACTTTTTAAATATGATTTTTTTGGGGCATTTGTTTTATTGGACAGAGGCAGTAGAGATCTACTGGAAACGTTGGAGAGGGAGGAGATGATATGCAGCAAAAGGCCCAGCCGGATGGTTGCTGCTCCGTGTGGAACGTGTTCTATCAGGTAAAGCACTTTGGTACCCAGTTATTTATGGTATTGAGTTTGAATTTAGCCTTTGCAATGTAATTTCCAACAGTGCATTTGTTAGGGTTGAGTGAAGCAGGCAGGACCCAAATGCAGATAACAAAGAAAATACCTTTATTTCAAGGTTAAAGCGGTGACAAACAGAACACTACCCCGTGAACACAGTCACAGACAAACAAGGATCTAACCAAGACAGACAGAAAAAACAGAACTTACATACACACAAGACTAATCACACAACAAGACACAGCTGAGGAGGGAGGAAAAAACACAGGGGCACAAGGTGAACACAATCAGGAAATCAGACACAGGAGGGCACATAACTAGGGCCAAAAGGGTGGGTGGAGGGGGTCTGGAGGACGGGTTTGGGCTGACACAGCAGCAGTGGACCCGGAAGGGGTCTCGGGCGGACGGCCCGGGGGCAAGGCAGAGATCAAGGAGGGGGTCTCGGGCGGACGGCCCGGGGGCAAGGCAGAGTTCAAAAAGGGGCGAAGACCACAGCGGGCGAACTCAGGGGACCGGGCATGAGAGCAAAGGCCACGGCTGGGGAAATCAGGGGGCCAGGCTCGAGGGCCAGGCTCGAGGGTGAAGGCCGCGAGCCTCAGGGGGCCGGGCTCGAGGGCGAAGGCAGCGGCTGGAAGAGTCAGGGGGCCGGGTTCGAGGGCGAAGGCCACGGCACTCAGGGGGCCGGGCTCGAGGGCGAACAAGAAGGCGGCGACGGGACAACTCCGGAGGCCGGGCAGGACCCAGTATCGGCCGGACAGGAACCGGAGCCGACGGGACAGGCGTAGACGGGATCCTGAACATGACATGGGCTGGTGTCAATGGGACCCCGGATGGAGCAAGGGCTGGTGTCGACTGGACCCCCAACGGAACAGGACATAGGGTTGGCAGGACCCCCGGCAGAAGAGTAGTCGGCGGGACCTCCAACGGGACAGGACATAGGGTTGGCAGGACCCCCGGCAGAAGAGTAGTCGGCGGGACCTCCAACGGTACAGGATATGGGGTAGGCGTCGGCCGTAGAGCCAACAGGACACGGGGGGCTGGCGTCGGCCGGTACGCCAACAGGAGACGAGGTGCTGGAGTCGGCCGGACCACCGACAGGACATGAGGGGCTGGAGTGGGCCGAACCACTAACAAAACACGGGGGGCTGGCGTCGGCCGAGGAGCCAGTACTGGAGCCGGAACTGGAGTCGGGACCATGGCTGCTGGGACCGGAACAGAGACCTGGACCATGGCTGTATGGGTCGGTTCTGGAGCCGGAACCATGGCTGTTGGGACCAGAACTGGGGCCGGAACCATGGCTGCTGGGGCCAGAACTGGGGCCGGAACCATGGCTGCAGGGGCCAGAACTGGGGCTGGAACCATGGCTGCTGGGGCCAGAACTGGGGCTGGAACCATGGCTGTGTGGGCCGGTTCTGGAGCCGGAACCATGGCTGTGTGGGCCGGTACTGGAGCAGGTACCATGGCTGCTGGGCACGGAACCGGAACACGGAACCATGGCTGTGTGGGATGGTACTGGATCACGGTACCATGGCTGTGTGGGCCGGCACTGGAGCACGGAACCATGGCTGTGTGGGCCTGTACTGGAGCCCAAAGCATGGCTTCTGGGGCTCGGGCTGCTAGCCTGGACTTGCGACTCCTTCTCTTAGGAGCCTTTTGGAGGCTCCGTGGACCTCCAAAAGCCAGACGAGTACCCGAGAACGGCTCCTGGACAGGAGCAGGAAATGGGGAAGAAGCAGGGGTTGACTCCAGACGGAACACACCGAGACGTACGGTGCCAGGCCGGGAACTGGGAGGCAGGGGGCTAGCATGCCTGGAGCTAGCAGGCCGGGAAACAGGTTTGACCTCAACGCTACCAAAAAAGTCCTCAATCCACTCGGGTAGTAACTCCCTTAACCAGGGCCTTGAGGTTACTTCTTGGCGTGCCGTAGAAATGATAGACTGCCTCTCTTCACTACTGGAGGCATATCGAAAGTCATTCCTCAAGCATGTTAAATTGTACGTCACCTCGTACAAACTGTCTGCTGGGTCCATTTTTGGTTAGATCATTCAGTTAGGGTTAAGTGAAGCAGGCAGGACCCAAATGCAGATAACAAAGAAAATACCTTTATTTCAAGGTTAAAGCGGTGACAAACAGAACACTACCCCGTGAACACAGTCACAGACAAACAAGGATCTAACCAAGACAGACAGAAAAAACAGAACTTACATACACACAAGACTAATCACACAACAAGACACAGGTGAGGAGGGAGGAGAAAACACAGGGGCACAAGGTGAACACAATCAGGAAATCAGACACAGGAGGGCAAACACAGAGACAGGAATCAACAGACAAGACAGGGGGTGAACACTTTTCAAAGTAAAACAGGAAACCAGAGGCAGAAAAAGACAAGACAAAACACAACACAGACAGATCGTGACAGCATTGTAAAGACTGAAAGATTTAAAGCTTGACTTGATTTGGTCTTTCACTTAAGAGGATGTTTCTCCTCCTGTCTTCTCTTATTTCCTTATCTTTCTTTCAGGTGTAACATCTACCAATGGTTGTACATGACATAGACCTCCTCCGCCTCTTTGCTGTCCTACTAGTCAACCCTTCTGATCAGAGCCTTTCCTAAATAGTGGTAAGTTGTTTTACAGTTCAGTGTATGTTAATTTAGCAACTTAATGCTTTACCGCTGTTGAATAAATTCTATATCGCTAGTGATTTTATTACAACTATGATTTGTAAACTTTTTGATTCCAATTACAATAATATTTTTGTTATAATTGTAAAACACATCTTAACATCCATCAGCAATCAATACAACAAATCATCCAACACAAAATAGAAGAAATCTGGACCTATTTCTTTTTATACCACAGCATCTATTGGGACTGCGCATTGATGTCATCAAGAGCCATTGAGTCTACCTTTTGTAGTCGGCCTCTCAGAATGTTTATCATTTCTTTGTCTCTGAACTTCTTTAATGCTTAGTTTTTGTATTGTTGATATTGTTTTGTTCTTTATTTTTGTTGTGAGAATCACTTTGCAATTGTGTAAGTGCTATATAAATAGTTATATTAATATTATTGTTGTTACCATCATTACTATTATTTAAAATGTTTTCTTTGTTTTCTTTATTTATCACTGCAGAAAGGATCATGCCAGCCCACATCAAACACCTGATCAAGAACTTGTGAATCTTCAGGCAGAAAAGATGAAAACACCTGTTCAAAGTTCCAGTTTCCTGTACATGGAACCATGCCTGTCCTCTGTTCCACATGTCTTCAGTCAGTTCTGGACCCCATGACTCGGACACTAGTTCTACCAAGGCTCATTAGAGGTAAGAGTGGTAGGAGAGGAGTGGAGTTATCTTTTGTATTTAGGCTGCAAGTCGACAAAGGTGATCAAATGCTGATGCTAATAACGATCCGAGTCATTTGATATTGATTGTCTGCCAATACCGAATCCTTATCCGATTCTTCTATTTCCCAGATAATACAGCTGCACAATTACAACAGGAACTCATTCGTGTGACACTGAAACATCTTTAGACGGTTAATACAGAAGGTACATTTAATGTTTGTGTTTTTACCAGTCATAGGGTAACAACAGATTTGACTGGTGGTAGGCTAAAAGGCTGTTTTGTTGATCATTTTATTTTTCATTACATTATAAAGATCTGCTAAATTGGAGGATTCCAAAGCTGAGCTGGAAGGGGAAGTCGCCACCTACAGGACAGCAAATCTAACAATGAATTTGGATAAACTATTAAACCAGGTATTTTCACAAGGTAAGTACATTTGTTTTTAAATTGCAAGCAAATAATAATGTCAGTCTTTGATCGATTTAGCATTTTAACTTTCATCAGCAACTGCAATAAAAGAAACAGACAAGATGGCAGTGAAATGTGTAAACAATCAGCCCATCAAGATATACGCATATTAATTTATACTATTGTTGAAATGTTTTTGCTACCCTTTCTTTGTTTCTTATTCACATTCTGTAGAACAGGGGTGGGGAACCTCCGGCCCCCGGGCCGTATACGTCCCGCGAGACAATTTGGTACGGCCCTCGAGGTAATTTATAAACACACGCAAAAAAGACAAACATTTAAAGTGGACCTATCATGCTATATTTGAATAATATAGTGTAGGACCATACCTATATAAGGCATATTTATACTTTTTCTTTTTCAAAATACCAAACAGATCATGCATTTTAGCCATGCCTCATTTTGCTCAATTTGACATTTTTTAGCTCTGCTCTGCAAGAGCAGATTCTGTGAGAACAGCACCATCTACTGGCCTGGCATATGTACTACAGCGTCTCCAGCGCTTTCGAACGGCAATGGCCGTGGCTGTCTCCTCCTGATTGGTGGAGTTGGCCCAATAGCCGTAGCGCCACTGTCCTGACGTCAGGACAGTGTTCAAATCTGGATCAGTTTTGATCAGATCCGTTGCAGCCCCTTTTTTAGAGATTTGGGTATGGAGGAAAATAGAGAGGGTTGTGTTTTCTGACACTTGGTGAGTTCCCTGGAACACCGGGGACACATATTCATGTATAAAAGACGTACAAAAGTGCATTTTGCATGATAGGTCCCCTTTAAGAAATCTAGACCGCAAAAAAATTAAACAAGCGAGTGCCTGCTTTTCCTGGACAAGGTCAGGGTCCTTGAACACAACACGAGCCTAACGTGTCATCACGTGGTATATGTCTCGTCTGACAGGAGTGCAGGTCTGCCGGAGAGCACCAGAACGTCGCTCCGGCACTTCCAAAAATTGCAGTACCCATAAGGAGCCATACACATGCCGCAGTTTTTGCGTGGCTGTGTCTTCAGTTGAAAGCCCAGTGGCGATCTGTTCATCTGTCATACTGATCATACAGTCAATAACTTTGTTGTTATTAGCATCTGGTTAGCTAGCTATGCTAACGAATATAAGAAGCTTTTTCTCTTTATATGATCATTATAGTTATAAAAAAATAAGAGAATAAAGTAGACGGGTATAAAATACTATATGACAGTAAAAAAAAGTTGTTATTAATAAACAAGAATACAGTTTGAAAGGGGAGTGATTTGTAAAATATCCATAAAGAAAAATAAATCTGCTTACAGTTCTGTTTCATATGGATGTTGAGAGATATCCATAGATCTCTTAATTTTGCTCTCAAAGTGCACCAGCTTGATGCTTTTAACTTCAACATTTAAAAAAAAATCTTAGGGGGTTTATTTTGATAGTTACCAGAATACATTGTATATTTAATACTAACATAAACTGGTGATAGATAGATACACTGTATGATTGTGTATGAATGGGTGAATGCTGACTTTGGGTGGTAAAGACCTGAAAAGTGCTATATAACTACAGTCCATTTACCATTTATATGACACAAAACAAGATTGTGTTCTGTCTTACTGGTATAACAGGAACTCCTCAGAACATTAGGTCGAAACAAGTCATTCTGTTGTGCGGAGCTCTGCTTTAGTATTATTCTGGTTTCATTTGTGCATAAAGGGCCGCTGACCGAGGCTCCACACTGAAGAATGGTGATGTGTGTCTTCCTGTGCTGCAGTCATTAAATCTGGAGCTGTGTCTGGTCTCTGTACACTGTCACCAACCGGGAAGTGAGGATCCTGTTAGTGAAACATGTTTATACAGACAGACAGACAGACAGACAGACAGACAGACAGACAGACAGACAGACATGTAGACATGTCTCAGTTTGCAGTAAAGCTTACGATGTGTAGCTGTAGACATACAGCGCTGAAGCAGTCCTTGTAGTGTCTGTCTGGTTTGAGAAATGTGTCTAAGAGATGATGTGAAACCAGTTCAGGTTAAAGGTTTTCCTTTTTCATAAAGATTACTTTTTTCGAAGCTCAAGTGGACAAGTCACTTTAGTCAAGAGCAAGATCTCTGGACGATCACTGCAAAACTGCTAAAATATTTCTCCGGAGTATTCATCGGATTTATGAAAACTAATCCCCAGATTATCAAGGTTCAAGGTTCAAGGTTCTTTATTGTCAATCTGACATAGCTACAGAGTAATTATGCAGTTGAAAATCTTATGTCACAGGCTTCTCCAACAATGCAACATAATAACATAATAACAATAAGAGCATGAGCAATACAAAAATAATAATAGTTATAAAAATGAAATAAAGTTATGATGTGGAATAGTGCAGTACGAGTCTATATACAAGTTATTGGAATGATATATATATATTAGGTATTAGATACATAATACTGAGTAGCAGATGAATGTTTGATGTTGTTTCAACAGTTCAATTTTTTAACAGTCTCACTGCCCGCGGGAAGAAACTGTCTCCGAATCTTCTTGTCCTTGCCAGGATGCTGCGGTAACGTCTGCCAGACGGCAACAGAAAGAACAGTTTGTGGCTGGGGTGATGGGGGTCTTTGATCATCCGTAGTGATTTCTTCCTGAGCCGCTGGGAGTAAAGGTCCTCCATGGATGGCAGCTCCGTCCTGGTGATGTGCTGTGCAGTTTTCACCACCCTCTGTAAAGCCTTACGATCGAGGTCGGTGCAGCTGCCGTACCAAGCCGTCATGCTGCCAGTCAGGATACTCTCTATGGTGCACCTGTAGAAGTTGCAGAGTATCCTGGAATCCATTTTGAACCTCCTCAACCTGCGGAGGAAGAAGAGCCGCTGTCGAGCTTTCTTGGTGATGGTGGTGGTGTGAAGAGACCATGTCAGGTCCTCAGTGATGTGGACCCCAAGGAACCTGAAGCTGCTGACTCTCTCCACCGTAGTCCCATTGATGGCGATGGGGGCGTGTCCCTCTCCCTGCTGCTTCCTGTAGTCCACAATCAGCTCCTTTGTTTTGCTGATGTTGAGATGGAGGTTGTTATCCTGGCACCAAGATGTCAGGTTTTTGACCTCCTCTCTGTACGCCGTCTCGTCATCGTCTGTGATCTGGCCGATGACGGTCGTGTCATCAGCAAACTTCACGATGGTGTTGGAGCTGTGTGTGGCCACGCAGTCGTGGGTGAACAGGGAGTAGAGGAGAGGGCTGAGCACGCAGCCTTGAGGGGCACCGGTGTTTAGAATCAGGGTGGAGGATGTGATGTTTCCCAACCGCACTGCCTGGGGTCTGCCCGTCAGGAAGTTCAGGATCCAGTCACAGAGGGCGCTGTTGAGCCCGAGGTCTCTGAGCTTGATGGCCAGCTTGGAGGGCACAATGGTATTGAATGCTGAACTGTAGTCAATGAACAGCATTCTCACATATGTGTTCCTGTTCTTCGGGTCCAGGTGTGAGAGGGCAGTGTGGAGTGTGAGGGCTATGGCGTCGTCTGTGGACCTGTTTGCTCTGTAGGCAAACTGCAGGGGGTCCAGAGATTCAGGGAGGGAGGAGGTGATGAATAATTTGACTAACCGCTCAAAGCACTTCATTATGATGGAGGTGAGTGCTACTGGGCGGTAGTCGTTGGGGCAGGTGATTATTGTCTTTTTGGGGACAGGAATGATGGTGGAGTGTTTAAAACATGTGGGGACTACAGACTGCAGCAGGGACCTGTTGAAGATGTCTGTGAACACCTCTGCCAGCTGAACTGCACACACCCTGAGAACACGGCCAGGGATGCCATCAGGTCCAGGAGCCTTGTGTGGGTTAACCCTTTTAAAGGATTTACACACATCTGCCCTATTTAAAACAAAAGGGCAGTGTAGCTCCTGGTCCCTCTGTGCCTCCACAGCCTGGCTGCTCTCAAAGCGTGCAAAAAAACTGTTTAGCTCATCTGGGAGAGATGCGCACGCAGACACTCCCGCAGCACCCCCCGCTGCTCCTTTGTAGTCAGTCATTGTCCTTAGTCCCGCCCACATATTCCTAGTGTTACAGCCTTTGAAGTCAGATTCCACCTTGTCTTTGTACTGTCTCTTTGCATTTTTAATTGCTCTCCGGAGATCATACCTAGACTTCCTGTACTCCTCCAAATCTCCCGCTGTGTGCGCGATAGTGCGCGCTTTCAGTTTGCCGCGCACCTCACCGTTTACCCAGGGCTTTTGATTTGGGAATGTTCGTACAGAAACCTTCGGTACCACGTCATCGATGCATTTCCCAATGTAGCAGATGACAGTGTCCGTGTGTGTGTTGATGTTATTGTCCTCAAACACACTCCAATCCGTGGATGCAAAGCAATCCTGCAGTGCCTCATCTGACTCCACGCTCCATCGTTGTACTGTCCTTGTTACCGGTCTGTCCCTTTTAAGTTTCTGCTTGTAAGCAGGCAGCAGCAGCAGTGAGATATGGTCTGATTTGCCGAAGGGAGGGCGAGGGAGAGCCTTATATCCATTCCGGAAAGGGGAATAAACATGGTCCAGTATGT